TTTAGTGAGAATTTTTTTCCCCCCCCCGCCCCGTCTCTGTCCTACCGCAGTGGCCCGCGTGTCTGATCCGGCCTTTCCACTCCCTGCCCCGGGTGCCGGGTGCCGAGGGCACAGAGTGGGCTCTGGGGGAGGGGAGAGGCATGCCCCCTTGGCAACTCCTCCCAAGGCCCGGCTCTCCGGCGGCCACCGGGGGCGGCGCGCTGGTCCTCGAAATATTCCCGTCGCAGCAGGAGCTACGGTCGGATCGCAGCCCGCGGGAGCGCGGAGCGGGAGAGACCAGCCGCGGGCAGAGGGTGTTGCTCAAGGTTGCTCAAGGTTGCTCAAGGACAAGGTGGGACCCGGGCGAGCCTGGGCAGGCGGGGCTTGGCCCTGAGGGGTGGGGGAAGGGCTGGCAGGGTGGGCGGGGCGGCCCTGCAGGGAGGGGTTCCACCGCGCGGTCTCAGGCAGGCTGGTGGCTGCCTGATGAAGAGCTATGGCCTCGCATCACTGCTCCACTGACAAGCCTGCCGGCGCGCCTACTCAGGCCTCCCCCAGGAGGGCCCTCCTTGTCTGGGGCTGCAGAGGAGGTGTCTGGGGAGGGTCGTGCCCCTCCGGGGGTGAAGGGTGACGGTGCCCCTCCAGGCATCACGCACGCTGCCAAGACTGGCCCTGGGTGACAAAGCCTGGGACTTGGGGGCCTGTGTGTGTGGATGGCTCGTCCCCACCTCCTCTGCTCCCGGAACTAGCACAGACATGACCACACTGGTTTGCAACCATTTATTCCGGTGCAGGGCTTTGGGTAGAAAAATAAACGGAAACCAAACAGAATGAATATGAAGCCTGAAGGGAGACGAATGCCTCCTGTCCCCCCTCCTCCCCTCGCTGCTCAGGGAGGGGCGTCCTCTTGTGCTGGGGGAGGGGCGGCTCCAAGCCAGCAGCTCTTCGTGCCGCACCGCCGCCCTGCCCTAGACCTTCCAGGGGAGCCCCCATCCTGGCCAGGGAGGGGAGCGGGTGGGGCCCCGGCCCCGAGGGTCACAGGCTGGCGGCCCAGGTGAGGCCGAGGAGGCCCAGGGCCAGCGCCAGGCCGAGGGGGTCGCTGGTGAGCAGGGCGCGGGCGGGCGCGGCACTCTGCAGACTCTCGTTGCACAGGTCGCCCTGGCAGCACAGGGTGGTCGACGACCCCCTGCTGACTTGGCCTTGCAGGCTGTGCGTGGGCGTGCACGACTCCGCGCAGTCCTTGTCCACCAGGTTCCCAGACAGGGGCTCCACTGGGGACGGGTGGGCGAGGTCAGGCCAGGCAGCGCCTCCGACCCCCAGGGCCTCCCAAGTACCAGTTCCCAGCTTCCACCGCCACCGTGACCGGTCACCGAGATCACTGCCACCATCCTCCCCAGGGATGATCCTCCAAGCCCTGGGGCACCGGGACAGAGCCCTGGAGTGTCCTGCAGGGGCCCCTTTCCCCTCCCCCAGATCGCTCACCCCTGGTCACGGTCCTGCAGAAGTTTGAGTTGGCTGAGCAGATCTGAGGTTTCTCACAGTTGGTGGAGCTTGTGCATACGTGACACCGGAGAGCCTGGGCTGGGGGCGAGGGTGTAGGGTTTCAGCAGGCCCCAGGGAGACCTCCCAGGGAGACAGGGAGGCCTGGGTTTGCTGCCGGAAAAGACTCCTCCTGGACAGAGCCCTCTGTCACCCCTGCCCTAGGCAAGTCGCCTCTGAGGCCCCTGGGCCCTGCCAGGGTTCAGGTCTTGCACACAGCCTCAGGAGGCAGGACGTGACAGTCCCTGTCTGCTGGGGCCCTGGCACCCCACCCGGAGGAGCTGTCCAGTGCCGGGCATCCCTAGAGGACCAGTGAGGAGGTGACCAGTATGGGGTGCACTGAAGACCCTTCCCCAGGGGCATCAGAGGCTCTGGGATTTGCTAATAGTGGCTCACAGGACCTGGCTGCAGTCCCCGCCCTGGGGGCTGTCTCCTGGTGGGGAGCCCACGGTGAGGGCCTGAGGCTGCGTTGGGGTCCCGGAGGCTGTCAGGTTGGCCATGCTGAGCCTGTGGGGGGGGAGGGGGAAGGGTGACCCAGGAGGGCCCTGGGCCCTGGAGAGGGGGATCAGGGGCTGAACCCTGCGTATCTGTCTTTCCCCAGGAGAGGCATCTCAAGACAACTCCCAGCATCGCTCCCTCTCAGAATGTCTGATTCTCGGGGTTGATTTTCTGATTCTGAAATATTGTTAAGTCTGTGATCCCACAAAGTTAAGATGCAGGGTTCACTTTGTTCTAGGGTTCACAACGCCAAGGTTCTCCGTGCCTAGAGGTGAGCAACTCCAGGCTTCCAGGGTCCGGCTCCCCACTGCCCCCAGCCCCCAGCCAGCCCCTCACCTGGCCCAGAAGCCACAGCCAGGGCAACAAGGAACAGCAGGGCTGTCTTCATCTCAGGCGTTCCCGGGGCAGTGGGAGCCCCTCCTCTCCGGAGGCCTTATAGCTGGGGCAGGTGCTGGTGGGAGGGAGGGGCGGGGACCTGCCCCTTCCTGCCTGGCCCACGCCCTCCAGCGAGGCACACCCCTGCCCTACCAGCTGGAGAGATCTCTGCCCACGCTCCACCCCACCCCCCGCCACCCCCCACCGCCTGCCCCTCTCTGGGCTCTGGACAGTGGCCTCAGCTGGCTCTGCAGCCTGCCTCTTCTCTGTCCTCTGCCCAGCTCCAGTCACTTTGTCTTTGACCTTCCACTTTGTCTCTGACTTCCACCCTCAGATAAGGTCACAGAGTCCCAAGCATGTGTGGTTGCCCTGGGGGTGCCCAGTGCTGTGCTCGGGCCGAGGGGCGTGGTGCAGGAGGAGGTTGAGGCCCTACCTTCTTGGGCTCCGGGGGCTCTGGGTTGCTAGGTTGACCCCCAGGGGTCCTGGGGAAAAGACCCTAGGGAAGTGAAGTGTTCACTAAGATGTCTGGACCTGGGGGAGAAGGGGAAAGAGAAGCCCTCGGGGCAGGGACATGGATGCCAGATGTGCCTGCAGAGAGGTGAGCACCGACTGGGTGAGGGATGTGAAGTCCAGCGGGGCCTGGGGCTTCGGAGGAGGGGCAGGGGCTGGATGCTGGGGAGGGGGTGGTGTGGAGGCAAAGACTCAAGCCCCCCGTCGTCTCCACTGCCCCTGCCTCCCATCTTTCCAGGCCCCAGGACCCCTCCTTGCCAAGTGCTCCCTCCGCCATGCTCCAGCCCGGCCCTCCTCCAGCAGCTGCCTGCATCCTGCCTTGTGACAATTGCTCTCCGTGTCTGCTTTGGTCCTGAAAGGCAGTGTGCTCTTCCAGGCCAGGCCTAGGGTCCCGCCTGGTGCGGGGTTCGGCTGGGGGCTGCCAGGCAGATCCCGCCGCACCTTCCCCCTCCGGCAGTGCTCACAGGAGGGACTCGGGCCTCTGCGCATAGGCTCCCCCTTCCCTTGTCCCCCTCCCCGCAGGTTTCCCTGTCTGCTTGCTGGCCCTGGCACCCCACTACCTCTCCGATGTGTCCGGCAGACCCTGCTGGGAGGTGCGGGTGGGACGCGCAGAGGCAGGCTGTGATGACGCTGAGTGGGGCCGGGGCACCGACGGAGGTCGGCCCTGGGCCGCTGCCAGCAGCCGAACCTGCCGGTGGACATGCCCCTGAGGGTCTGGTGGGGCAGCGCCTGCTGTGAGGATCTGGGCCAGCCTAAGGCTCTTTGGAGCAGAGGCTCAGGCCGGTCAGGTCTGGGCCCCAGACCCCGGGCCTTTCCTCCTGGCAGGCCCCCGGGCAAGCTGGCTCCTGAGCTGGGCCTCACCTCCTCCCTGCCGAGTCAAGGGCGCATATCGTGATGCTGGGGGTCCAAAGAGGTGTGCCCACCCTGAAGCAGTCACTGGACCTGCAAGACCTGCACGATCGTGGAGGGTTGGTGTTGCGGTGCCTTCCAGGATCCTGGGGGGCACAGGGAGGGGGCAGGCAGGAGCCCCCAAGGCAGCCCCCCATCAGCCTCCTGAGCCCGCAAAGGCTGCCTGTCCTACTGGCTGGTCCCTGGGGCTTGTTTAAGGCAGCTGGGGTCTGGATTGACAAGGCAGGTGATGTGGGGGTCCCTGGGCCCTGATCCAGAGAGCAAAAGTCACCCTGAGCTCCGAGGCCTCCCTCGGAGTGGGAAGGAGGGTGCCCAGGAGGCCCTGGGAGGCAGGGCACAGGGCTCAGTGACAGGGTGGTAACTAGCAAGGGGTGGCAGATGGCAGGTGGGGAGTGGTGACTACTTGGGCCAAAGGTCATGGAAGCTGCTGGAAAAATAGGTTTGGGGGATTGGATTTCCTGGCGGGCCCGGTGGCGCTGCAGGATCCAGGGATGTCGGGCCGACTGGGAGTGGAGGTCTGGGCGTGAGGGAGCTGGGCAGCGGGCTCCCTGCATGTGGGGCTGGAGGGGGCCCTGTACCCCCGATCCACCTCCGTGAGGCACCTCAGGCTTTTACGTGGCTGTGTGCCCTGGTGGCAGGGCTAGACACTGGAGCAGAGGCGGCAGCTGGTCCTGTTCTGTGGGAAGGAGGCCTTTGCCCCAGCAGGGCTGCCCACGAGGACGCGAGCTGCCTCTCCTGGGGCTTCCTAGCAGAAACATCAACCCCAGATACACTTTACTTGTGGGAGAAAGTGGGTGATTCCAATGACTGGAGCTCTCAGAGAACTGGGAGTTATCAGGACGGTGCAGTCGGGGAGGGCTTCCTGCAGGCAGTGCTCTGGCCACCGCAGTCTTAGAGGCCGGGTTCAGGGGGGAGACGAGCCCTGAAACTCATCCCCTACCAACCCCTTTCACTGGTGAGGAAATAAGGGCCAGAGAGGACCGGGCTGGCACCAGGTCATCCAGGAGTGGGGCAGAAACTGGCACTTGTTTCTGTCACCACTGACCCCTCCTTCCCTCCGCCCTCACATGCTGGAGAGAGCATCTGCTTTCCAGAACCTGAGCCCTCCTATCAGCCTGGGTCCCTAGACCTGACTGTACCAGCAGGCGTGACGCCCAGGAGAGGCCTTGGAGGGAATACTACCACCTACACCTACCCCCTAGCCCTGCCTGCTCCCTGAACTCAGCTGCCCAGGAAGCCAGACGCCAAGACAAGCCCAGGCCTCTGCCTGCAGCTGAGGTTCTCCTGTCCGGGCCCTGTCCCTGCGCCTTGCCTTCCTGCCCTCTCCCCCTCATCTCAGCCTGGGCATGGGAGAGGGGCAGGACCACTGGGGTTACACAGAGCGGGAGTATGGCCCAGAGAGGGAAGCGCCTGGGTCAGCGTGGCACAGCAGGCACCCCAGGCCTTCCAAAAGGCCCCCAGGCCTGCCCGGGCTGAGGGTGGGCACCTCCAAACCTCAGGCTGGGACAGGCTTCTGCTCAGGTCACCATAAGGGCAGCCCCGGCCCCGGCTATACCCCCAAACTTCCCTCCACCTCAAGGCACCCCATTCACCCCCTCCTTCATTCCTTCAACAGAGTTTTAGAAGGACTCAGCACGTGCCAGGCACAGAGGGTGCAACGGAGACTGAACGAGGAGAGACAGGGTCCAGGCTTCAGGGCCCCCCCGACTAGCTGGGGAGATGTCGACAGGGTGGACATGTGATGCTCTGTGTGTACCCCACGTGAGCATGATTATCAGGGAGGCCGAGGGACCCAGGGGGGCTCTCCCCGGGGTGGGGTGGGGAAGGGCATCCCGGCAAGGCAGCCAGGGTCTGGCTCAGGGGCCGTGCATGGCCCTGGGGGTCATGCTCCCTTTCTGTCTCTCTCTCCTTTCCCAGCTGGAGTGAGGTGACTTCCCCTGAGTCAGGCAGCGGAGTGATGCAGGGTCTCCCTTGGGCCTGCTCTGTTCCTGTAAATCACACACCTGCACGCATACGGGGCCTCCCTCAGCTGACATACAGAGGGCAGGGCCTTGCCCAGTGTCACCCAGTCAGTGAGTGGGAGCCAGAGCTGGGCCTGGCCCCCCAGCATGGGGCTCTGACCCTCACCCTGGCCTCTCCACTCATCCTTCCTGGTGCAGGAGAGTTGCCTTTACGCCCAGGGCCGTGGGCCTAGATGTAGGTCTCTCTTACCAGCTGCCCAGGGCCTGACATGGCCCCATCCATCCTAGATCATCCCCTGGGACCCTGGCCACCAGCTGCCCTTCTCCAGAGACACCTCCCCATCGCTGGGCGAAGCTTCTGGATGCAGTTAATATCCTTGGGCTGGGCTGGGGGCTGGGGTCCAAGGCCGGCTCTGCCCCTCTGTGCTGGCCTCTCATACATGCGGGGCCCCTCTTTCCTGCTCTGCCAGACCGAAAATCCAGGGAGTAGCCACATGGGCAGCCCTTCCCTGCCTTGAAGCACAGCCTGTTGCCAAGAGTGGCTGGGCAGGAGCCCTAGGGCCAAGAGAGACCAATCCCCCTGAGAGAGGCCTCACAGGACCCCTGCTCACATCAGCTCCTAGGACCAGCACTGGGCACCTCTCCACAGAGCCCCACATGGGCCCTAACCGTCAGCTTCTCTGGCTGTGTCCCTGAGAGGACACTGGGACTTGGGGATCTGGGTGATGAGGGCAAAGCCCTCAGGTGTGAGCTGCGTCCTTCCATGAAGGCATGGGTATAGGTTCTGGGGTAGTGACCACGGGGCCCTTCTCACTTTCCACCCTCACTTCTCTGTCCTCACTTGCTCCCAACACCTACCCACCCATCCACCCATCTATCCATCATGCACGCAGGCATCCATCCACCCATCTATCCATGTATCCATCCACCCATCCATTATCCATCCATCCATCCTCCCCATCCGTATATCCACTCATCTACCTGTCCATCCATGTATCCACCCATCCTTTTATCCATGCATTCATCCATCTTCCATCCGTCTATCAATCTGTCCATCTGTCCATCCATCCATTCAACCATCCACCATCTACCCATCTACTCATTCCACTTACACGTCCTCCAGGAAATAATTACAGTGATGTTTCTCTATCTCCTCTCTCCTCTCTCCTCTTCCCTTCCTCATTTATACACACACCTACCCCTGACAAGAGAAAACAGTAATTCTCAAAGACCACGGAGTGAAACCTGGTGGGACTCTGAGAGCCTTAGGTCTGCAGGTGGTTGGCAGGCAGCTCTGGAACTTGCAACACCTGACATGCAGACACTCCCTTTTTATTTAAGATTATGTTAACTGGGTAGGAGAAGGGCTTTGGGAGCACATCACTGATCCTAACCCTTAAGAGGGGAATAAATATCTAATATAAATCATGCGCTCCGTGTCTGTCCGTCTTTGGCACTTACACAGGGCAGTGGAAATTCCTTTCCTTGGCAACCCTCCACCCCTGTCACTTTGTCCCCTGCCCCTTGGGAACAGGAAATGACCCCTTTTTGGGTGCTGCCACTCTTTAAGCCCCACTAAAATATGGCCGGGACAACCTAGAATTTAACAAAAAGGTTTTTTGGAAACAGCTGA